TCCATTTGTCTTTCACTATAACTACTGACATTTCAGAATGACTGTTTAGCCTGGGAATGTTCCTACTAATTAATGTTCTTCACTCAAATCACCTTTTGTTGCTTATAGGTTGATGTTCTAGTAGACTGTATTTGTCTTATTTCCTGATTTATAAGTTCCGACCAATTTTGATCGCTGTTCTGTTTTGGTATTATTTTCAGAATGTTGCTATTCTTTTATCCGAGTATGTTATCATTTTTTGTAAAGTTTTATAATTAGAAAAAAATTACGATAAAAAGGCTTACTATTTTATTGTGTACCTGAAACTATGTTTTAGTTACAAAGTTTCCAAGCTGTGCTCTGTTTCCCTAGAACGGATTAGCCCTGCAACAGCTGGTTATCTTGAGTCATCCAGGGATCGATATTTTACAGGGCCTTGTCGTCCAACGTCACTCACTCTCAACACTGCAGCACTGAGGACAAGCAACCCACATATACCACGGGCAATTTAAGACCAATTAGCCGACCTACTGTTGTAATATAGTTAAATGTCACAGCCGACTGTGTAACTGCTTTGGGTCTATAGACAATATCAATGTTACTCCTCACAGGAGTAGACCTGCGTTGGATAACTGTGTACTGGAAATCAAAACAGTCGGAAAGTTTGCAGAAACTTTATCCGGAAAGTTCATCATAATTGATGGCGAGAGGGACGACTTTTAACCACCGTCAAGAGAAAAACGGCTCTGAATGCAGCTTATTGGAGCAAATACACAAACGAGCGTCTGATTCGTACATGTAAAATGGCGGAATCAAAACAACAGGTCTGTATGATAATAACATTTTGTGATTATTAACATTAAAGAAGTCGACAAGTGACGAGATCAATTATTTCAGATTCAATCACTTTAAAGAAAATAATAACATTCAAATGACGGTTTGTTATCAAATACAAAATACAAGGAAATTGGATGCAGTTAAAATATGTTTCTAATGGGCAGTGAAGTACAAATGGTTTCATTATATAAAACCTTAAGGATATGTTATAGGACAATATCACTACTAAAATGTAGGCTACATGTATAGTTTAGCGTTATGTAAACTGTTATAGAGCTACTGATGTCCAGACCATCCTAACATGTTTACAATTTTACGACAACGTTGTAATGTATTTCTGATGAAATTTTAAACACATTCTTAAATATTTTGAGCCTACAAAATGGCATTTTATCATATACTAAACAGGTAGATTTTATTTGTACAAAGATGTGCCAGTCTTCTGGATGATAGAAAACATATGAATAACAACAATTTTAAGGGTAGCATACAAATGTTTCGTCCTTCTGGTATTCATTCCAAAGGCCTTATTACACACTAAAACCTCTCTTATATCCGGGTCAACAATTTGTATAGATTCAGATGACTTGTTTCGCAAATGTTTATATAAATCAGAAGGTGTATTTACCTTCTATAAAGCCAATAGATAAAAACCAACTTTGTGTAATTATTAATAGTGTGTCGCGTGGTTTCACTCTAACGCACCGGATCCTACTTTGAGAACGTGACATAAGTCGGATTAACTTAAATTTGTAGATCGAGGGTTGATACTGTTGAGCAGTCCAGCAGTATCCCCTGTAATTATTCCCATATCTCATGTCTTACCTGTATCAACATTGTTAAACAAAATGGCGATGTCCTCCTTCTCTTTCGATTTTCCTCTTTCGCTCCACAGGCTTCAATAAGACGAGGTCTATAAAGATTAAACATCTGTATGGTATATTGTACATCATTATCTGACTGTTTATTTTGTAGTGAATTTGTACGGGGGCGCAATAGCTCAGTCGGTTAGAATGTTGGCCTACGTAACATAAGGTAACAGCAGACCTCCCGTATGTTGTTCAATGAGGTAACCAACAGCTACTACAAGGAGTGCTCGTCGCATAATAACCATAGATGTTGACTGGTCGATTAACCTAACAAACTAACAATTTATTTTGTATTTAAATCTAATCACTTTTAAATCTTCCGTACAATTCGACGTTGTCTTGGTAAGTTATTATATACACTGTAGATATTCTCCTACAAATCATTGTCTTTTTGTTTCAATTGAGTTTGTACGTACACAATTAAATTGTCAATTGTAAGACAAAATGTGATTTTTTTTTAAATTTCTATTTTTTTTTTTTTTTTTTGATTTTATTATTTTTAAGATAATTTCTTTTTTATGTATATTAAGGAGGAAAAACTTTATATTCCCGGATCAATGATGTATAGAAGTGTATATTTATATTTCTTAGTTACGATAAACATCTAGTGATGAACTACCGTTAAGTGAATCCCGTCTAAGGTCAGTGACTTACATTACCACTCGTGACCACTCCAGGCCTGTAATTACTGTAATAGGCCTGTCTGGTCCTGAACAAAGAGTCAATGCACCCTAGGGTATGGCAAAATTGAACACATTCAGATATCTAATTAATATTCCCGTCAGTTGCACTAGTCTTAAAATCCAATACTAACCACGTACGTGTTGTAACAGGTTTTATATAAAATTCGTCATTTTCATTTCAACATTACATTGTAAACAACATACAAATGGATTGGATAGCATGCTATTCATATATACATTTTCTCCAGGTATGAATAAATGGGTTGAAATTTCATAAAGTAAACAATTAGTGACATATATAATATACAGATTGGTCATTATAATGATATGTCGCATTTTCAATTGACATACCGTAATTAGATACAGGCGGGGGGGTTAGGGGGAGGGGTGTGGGTTAGCGGGGTGGGGGGAGGGGTGGGGTTTGATTTGTATTATACCACAAAGCTAGTATTCCGGTTGTTCATTTGGAAGTCAAATTATATAATCTGTTGTTGAAGTATTAAATTGGTATCCAGTCTTAAATTCACCATCACTTGAGTTTCTGGTACAAGTGTTCGACTGTTTTTGATGGCAAACAAATATTTCATGAATATTTAAATAAAAACAGAAAGTCAATTTGGATTTTACTGTTTCTAAAAAGACTTAATCAAGAGAGTATGTAACGAACATTTGATGTATTAATGCGACTATTATACAAACAAACGGTTAACATTTATTATTAAATCAACTTTACAAAAGTATTATCCCCGTGATACGTTTACCAGGATGTAACACTTCATGTATTTCGCGTTCGCTTTAATAATTCTGAGTTTGATTGTCTATTAAATCGATATTTTATTTTTATTTTTGATATGAAACATATTTTGAACAATTTTGAAGATTTTTTTATCCAATCAAAAATTTGTTTATTATTATCTGTTATGAGATGAAAACCTTTCTTGACCCAACAAAAATGTTCATTTTAACTGTAATGTATAAGCCTTTGTTTGTTATTGCGTTTATCGCCCTTTGAACAAAGAGGGTTATTTTGAGGAGGGGGTTCCTCCTTGTACTTTGTGGTAGCTAAGTCAAGCACAACATACGAAAGGACCGTTGCAAACCATCCAGAGCAATAACTATAGAGTTTCTTTCCCAGAGGCAAAGTCATGCCACACACACCAGTCAGTTTTTCAGCCTCCGGAAAAGCAAAAAACTGGCACGGGAAATATAATTTCAAAAACATATTCAACACAGATAGGATTTGTTTTAACAAAATTTATCATGAATATGGAAGTTTCATCGTAACTATGGTACCTTGATTTGATTTTAAAAAAAAAGAATTAGAAAATTAGAAAAGAATCCAACGTAGAAATGGCTACGAAAATAACCTATGATTCAGAAGCTGTATCCCTAGTCATCTGTATGTTTGAATACACATCATTTACTATTGTAAACTGTAAATTTCCTTTAAAATGAAACCATAAAATCTGACTTAACGACTCCATCAACTAATCACTTTCATAGAATTCCAACAAAGGGCGGAAAACTGTAATGGATAAATGTATTTGAAAGTGGTCTAGAGATTGACAAATATCATTCTATGTAAATTATAAGATCTTATTTGTGAACAGCACGCACAGGACACTAAAGACGTGAATGTTCTAAATTAATAGAAATCCGACATTATCCATCGATATCGCTTTAATAAGACTTATAAATACACGTCATGCTAAATCATGAAAGTCTGGTTTTACCTTATTATGTTATTTATGGTTATTGTCATATAGTGATTAAAATGTACAGTACAATCACGTGTTGTGAGATGTGATCGTCACTCCCCCTTGTACGGGGTAACATTTCCCCTAGAGTGAACACTATCGATCCCCTGTAAGCATACAATCTAAAGAAATTCTCTGCAACAGATGTCAGATACATATTTACAGATATTATTACAGTATATTTACACATACATCACACACAGTTTCATATCGATATTTCCGTAAACGGGATCTCGGGTTGTATATACTTACTTTTAAAATTTTACTGCAAAACAGCCTTTCTTACCACGTCCTTCCTACCTTCTGTCGTGTAGGCTGAAACAGCTTTATTTTCTTAATTTCAACCTTTTGGAAAGTTTATATGATAAGAAATTTGATTGTTTTAATCAAAGAGTTTTACAAATGAATCGGTTTTATACTGCAATTAAAAACACAATGAGTAATTAGCTATGAAAACATCTACTGGTGTCCGATGTAACTCTGTAACTTTAAATATTCCCATTGGTCGATCCGTATGAGGTTTGTCGGTGAATTGTAATATTTTATTTTCTGGAATTTACAACTGATAAATAATTTTTTGTTTGTTTTTTTTTATATATAAATATCGATGTATTATAATAAAACTGACATTGTCTACAAACATAATTGACATTCCTGACTATTCTCTCTTAATCTTCAAACATTCCTACAAAACACACAATTTAGCTGGGTATACAAATGTCAGGGTGCTTTCTTAAATGTTTATCTATACTAATGACGGTCCAATGCATAAAACAAGACTTTTAGAGTAATTTGTATTAATTCTACTACTATATAACATCTTCTACTCACTCAATGTAAGATCTGATGTAATAAAGTCTTCTCACAGGTTCCATGGGAGTAAGATCTATAAGGAGGCATAATGATATTTGCCAGCATAGCGGACGGTCAGATCCATGATTCTGAGATATTACGACTGGATGTTTGGGACAAACTTGTCATCCTGGCCGCTATCGGTCTCTTCTTTGCCCTCGTTATCCTGTGTATGGTCTGTGCATTGTCGCCATTTTGCTGGTTATACAACATTTGTCCCTTCCAATACGACAAACAACCACAAGGTAAGGTTATATCTGCATGTTTCGTTGTAAATTTATCCATCGACAACATAAGATATATATCTTGTTTTTTTAAATAGATGCCGATCTTATCCATATAAAGTGTGATTGTTGGCTCATCTAGCTGTTCCACCAAGCCTTTGTCCAAACCACTAACTGCTATTCTTAGTACTCTCAAACACGGGTTACAGTCTTATTGTGATACTGTTTACACAAGAAGTAGAATTTATTAATATGTGGATTTTAAAGCACTGTAGAGCGTTTGACCAATCTTTAACATCCTCTTCTAAAACATTTCTTTTGTAAGAACATCTTATTTTTCTACTCTGCACACCAAAATACCCCATTCCTGTTCCTATTATCACGATTTTCGTGCAAGAAGTTGTCAACTGACAGACAAACTCGTAACATGTGGTTTCATAAGGTGCAGGTTGATGAAAATCACGGGGATTTTTTACTGTCGCCATAGTGATCACATTGAATAAAATTCTGTATCTTTGTTTTCATTTGGGAACCTGACATTACTTACGCGAGTTGACCAAGATTTATATAGCGGGTGTTGTCGATGAAGCAGAAGACGCTTACTCTTCCGGAACACCGTGTCTTGTTCTCCTTGTACTTTTTCAGGAGTCTGCGTTTAGATGTTTCTTCAGAACATATCTTGCCCTATGTTTATTAAATTTGAGTTTGGATTAGGATTTTGTTGCCATGTTGGTATTTTCTACAGTGCAAAGCATACAGCGATCGATATAAGACTTTTTTGATATTTTAATCACCATCTTTCATACAAGAACATAGGATTTTTTAACCCTTATAAAGAACCTTCGGCGTCAATCGGCCGAAAGGGATTATAGACACCTATATTTACACCACCACTCTCCATTTAACTTGATAACTTTGTATTTGTTTTATGTTCTATGTATGTGATGTAATTTATGTAATATTTGTGTCTTGATAAAGGGGCAGATTGCCTCGAAAATTTGACATTCACTTGTCCGTACTGTCGTTATTACTACATGGACCATATATATATATTTAGACCATGGCATTGCACTTTTATTTCTCACTCAAAGTATAGTAACACCACGCATGAAAAGGTTAAAGTATAAACAACGACCAAATATTCATATCTGACAAAAATCAGATAGCGGTAATGATGTGCCCTTAAACTGTTCTTAAGCTTTTTAGGGGTTGTTGGTGTTTGTCTAAGTTTACGTCTTTGAATTAAGCATTTCAGCAAATATATCTTAAGTAGAAATTTGAATATGATAGGGAAATGGATTATGCAGTTAATTCCACCAGCTGATTACATTGGTAACTTTCTGTTTGTCAGTATCACCGTACCCGTCATCCGGATACGGGGCTACCCAGTATGCTGTTACCAAGGAAAAACCATTGAAGGGGAAAAGGGGCCCTCTGAGGTCGATCAAGGAAGACTACTCGTCAGAATGGTCAGATTCCAGTGGACCAACCATCATCGAGTTGAAAAGGGTCAACAAAACTTAATCTTCATTTGCTAGTATAATTTGTGCGATTGTAATATATAACACAAACAGGATTATTGATATATCATGATTACGAGAAGTTCAAAAAATGAATAAAAAAATAAAATAATATTAAAAAAACTCTTAAACATTTCAAATAATCCGTTAAAAACCGCTTAAATCTAAAGTCCACCCGAACAACCATTAACTTTGTTCTGACAGACTGTTTAACATATAAAGTTGAGTAGTTTACTGTAATTTGCTTGTAATAACCTGATTTATCTTTGTATACTTCAGTGTGCAGCAATAGAATCAAAAATAATTCCTAACTAAACAGTGAAAGTGTAGAAACACATGTCGTTGACGCAATCGGTAGTGGAGAATGACAGGAAAAAAACAAAATATAGAGAACTTATTTGTAACGTTAGCGCTACCACTTAACAGGTATTACTATACATCTTGACTGGTGTTGACAGCCATACTATAACATCTGTCATTGAGGATCATTATTGTTGTTATCTACTTACAGACCAGCGTCCGCAGTCCTCCGACTTTTCCTGACTCGGAGTTTGCAGACCAGCCTCATGCCGTTCTCAACTCAGCTGATATAGAGTTCTCTCTCAAATATGATCCACTTGAGGGAAAGCTGTTTTTAAAAATTTTACAGGTTAAGAATTTGTCGTTAAATGATGCCAGTGCAGCAATTTCTCCGTATGTTCGAGTCAGATTTTACAGAGCGCCTAAACAGCTGTTTAGTTTCGGGAAGGAGTATGTTATAAATAACCTTGATATGGAAGTTCAAACTAAAATGCAAAAGGCGAGCGAGAATCCCGTGTTTAACGAGACTTTCTATTTGGTTGTGGATCAGAGAGACCTGCCTCTTTATACTGTGCGATTACACCTCTGTGACTTTGATAAGTTCTCCAGGCACATTCTCCTCGGGGAGACAACCGTCATCATTAAAAAAATAGACTTACCGGACGCAACGGAAGTGACGTACACGGAGAAACTGGAACTTCCTGAAGAGGTAGATATGAAGGATTCGATATCGAATTATTAAGATGTAATTGACTGGTATTTGATACAAAATCTTGTTCGTTGCAAACAAGCAAATTTATATCCATTATTGATATATTAAATAAAATGAAAATTGAAATTGCATAAAAGAGAAACGTAGTTTAATGTTAGCAAATAATTGTATGTCTACACAGAGTGAAATTGGAGACAGTTGATATCATTTTATCATAAACTGTATCCATGGAAGAAATTCAAGAGAGAAACGCAAACATTACATTGTATTTGAATTGCTTTCGGCTATGAATTATATTTCTAGCGAACAGTTGAAGGGAAAAGTAAACGTTGAACAATATTTCGTTTTTTACTAAAACGATCCTCTGAAACATATATCATAGTATCTCGGATATATACTATTTACACAGACAGTAAACGGAAAGATTGTTTCACGTTTAGTTACGTTTTCTATTAACACAGGAGGACCTCGGCGAGATCTGTTTAGGAATGAACTACCTTCCGACAGCTGAGAAATTGTACCTGACGGTGGTACGGGTCCGTGGGCTCAAAGCAATGAATAGGACGACCAATACCACAGGTGAACAGTTGTAATGTTCCTTATAACGAGATTATTTATACTGGATATTTAGTAAGTCTTTAAATGAACAAAAAATATATATATCATCGCGTTTGTTGCATTCCATGTTATGAAGTTGCTCATGATAATGTATCATTGTTGTTGTTGTGTTGTTGCTGTTGTTGTTGTTGCTGTTGTTGTTGTTGTTGTTGTATTCTTTTTATATGTGGTCAGTCATTCTGATATCTTAAAATGTTTTTTCATTATCAAAATAACGATAATGCTTATGTTGGGTTTCAGATGCCTATGTAAAGGTTGTTCTGATGCACGAAGGGAGACAACTGAAAAAGGTGAAGACCGTGATAAAACGATCCGATTTAAACCCAGAATATGACGAAACGTTTGCATTTGATGTGCCAAGTCAGGAGCTAAACAATGTTTACTTTTGTGCCGCTGTGATACATGCAAATAAAGAGCAGAGGCAACATAGACTCATCGGACGGATGTATCTAGGTCCGAGTTTCAGTACAGATGCACATGCGCACTGGGTTGAAATGACACAGAATCAACGGAAACAAGTCACGTGCTGGCATAGACTTCATTGTTAAAGTGATTTAAACCTAGACGTCCATTTCAGAAACCATGTCACAAAGTTTGAACAGAATTCAGAACTAAAGAGAAACAGAAAATCTTGGTGTCTACATTTAGTTATTTTCTGAATTCACGGAAACTGCTGAAAAACTTTATGATCTTCAGAAGTGATCAAAATATCATCGGATTTCAATTAAACAGCCAACATCAGTTTCATAACGACGTCCTAGTTGAAGACCAGTCTAAGTTATTGAATGTTTACACCAGGACATGACTGCTTGGTAAAGTGTCATAGTGTTAATAGCCTAGTCACCAATGTATATGTTAATCTAGTTGATATTCGAGTCCACTGTAAGCTTGTCGGCCTGAATTATAGTCTTATAGGGGTAAGTACGGCTATAGTTAGTGTATTATATTTATAGTTAAAATTGATTTGTTGGCTTTATTTATTTTTAGTGACAATTGAACCATGACGACATCTACCGATACCTGTCAGTAATGTCTGTTAGGTACTGATATAGGGTTCGGTTATATATATATATATATATATGTATTTTCCTGTAAAGATTGGATTAATTAACATTTACACAGAGATTTATTCAGTTAAATAAAAAAATATTTATGAAAATTTCATATGATGGCATTTTTAAGTTTCTGAGTTACACAATTTTGCGGTATAATGAATATATCATGCATATTCATCACTCAGATGAATGATAACTTCGGTGCTCTGACAATATACCGTGTGTACACTATATATCAGAGTAGTTGCAAGCCAGTACAGTCAAAGGAAAGAGTGCATTCCATTCTTACAGAAGATATTGCAATGAGTACAAAGAGTTCTGACAGTTGATCAGAAGCACACCAGTTTCACCCCGCCAAAGAAGGCAAAGACTGTTCTATCAGCTGGAAAGGTTATAGCCACGGTTTTCTGGGATGTTGATAGTGTTCTTATGGTAGAATCTGCAGAAGGGACAAACAATCAATGACACATATGCAAGACTTCCTTGGCAGTTAAGAAAAAATATTAACCTCAAGCGCCGCGGAAAACTCAGTAAAGGTGTGTTGTTCCACCAGGACAATGCCTCTGTTCACAAGCCTGTCGTTGCCATGGCTGCCGTTAACGATTGTGGCTTTGAATTGATTGAATTCTCACTCCATCAGACTTAAGTTTACTTCAAAGATTGAAGAAGGTCGTTTCCGGTACCCATTGTTGGTCACGCGTGCAGTGGAGGACTTTCTGAACGGTCAAGAAAAGTGGCATAGAGGTCCTTAAACATCGCTGGCAAAAGTGTATACATACTGAAGGGATTATGCTGAAAAACAATGCAATAAGTCTACCAAATGTCAAACCCTTAAATTTGAAGCTCACAACTTATCAACCAGCCCTCATACTACAAGCATTACAAAAACAGATGACGTTGTTTAAAAGCATGCCAGTTCTCGATGACGTCATGACCGGACCCATAAATACAAACCTACTGCCTACAAGCAGGTCAATATAAGTTCTCTAGTCAGTTATTGACCCTATATAAAACTAGAGTGCATATGATTTATAGTTGGAGTGGGTATGGACGTTGGTGTGCGCGTGGGGTGGGTGTGGGCGTGGAGCGTTGGCGTAAGCGTGGGGCGTTGGTTTGGTTGTGGGCGTGGGAAGTGGGAGGTGGAAGGTGGGCGTGGGCGTTTGTGTTGGTATGGGGCGTGAGGTGTGGGGCGTTGGCGTGGGCGTGGTGGTTGGCGTGGGCACGGGGCGTTGGCGTGGGCGTGGGGCGTGGGAGTGCAGCGTGGGGTGTCGACGATGGCGTGGTCGTTGCCGTGGGCATGGGGCGTTGGCGTGGGGTGTGGCGCGTGGGGCGTCGACATGGGCGTGGAGTGTGGGTGTGCAGCGTGGGGCGTCGACGGTAGCGTGGCAATTGGCGTGGGTGTAGGGCGTGGGGCTTTGGCGTGGGGTGTGGGTGTGGGGTGTGGATGTGCACGTTGGGCGTCGACGTGGGCGTGGAGCGTGGGTGTGCAGCGTGGGGCGTCGACGGTGGCGTGGTCGTTGACGTGAGCATCAGGCGTTGGCGTGGGGTGTGCGTGTGGGACGTCGACGTGAGCGTGGGGTGTGGGTGTGGGGCGTTGGTGTGCGCGTGGGGCGTCGACATGGGCGTTGGGTGTGGGTGTGCAGCGTGGGGCGTCGACGGTGGCGTGGTCGTTGACGTGAGCATCTGGCGTTGGCGTGGGGTGTGCGTGTGGGGCGTCGACGTGAGCGTGGGGTGTTGGTATGGGGCGTTAGGTGTGGGGCGTTCGCGTGGGCGTGGTGGTTGGCGTGGGCACGGGGCGTTGGCGTGGGCGTGGGGCGTGGGAGTGCAGCCTGGGGTGTCGACGATGGCGTGGTCGTTGCCGTGGGCATGGGGCGTTGGCGTGGGGTGTGGCGCGTGGGGCGTCGACATGGGCGTGGAGTGTGGGTGTGCAGCGTGGGGCGCCGACGGTAGCGTGGCAATTGGCGTGGGTGTAGGGCGTGGGGCTTTGGCGTGGGGTGTGGGTGTGGGGTGTGGATGTGCACGTTGGGCGCCGACGGTAGCGTGGCAATTGGCGTGGGTGTGCAGCGTGGGGCGTCGACGGTGGCGTGGTCGTTGACGTGAGCATCGGGCATTGGCGTGGGGTGTGCGTGTGGGGCGTCGACGTGAGCGTGGGGTGTGGGTGTGGGGCGTTGGTGTGCGCGTGGGGCGTCGACATGGGCGTTGGGTGTGGGTGTGCAGCGTGGGGCGTCGACGGTGGCGTGGTCGTTGACGTGAGCGTATTCCTGGACACCTAAACTTGTAGACACTTTTTTAACCCTTATATGCTATATAGAGGGTCAGAAACTGACTATACAACGTATTTAACGCATCCTGTACCCTTTCTGTCTCCAATTGTTGAAAATGCACAGGCACCATAAAACTTTTTATTATTTTATGTTATGTCGTTGTTTCACGAGTGTGACCGGACGGAGTTCTGTTATATCGTCATCATACGAGTGTGACCGGACGGAGTTATGTTATATCGTCAGCACACGAGTGTAACCGGACGGAGTTATGTTATATCGTCATCACACGAGTGTGACCGGACGGAGTTATGTTATATCGTCATCATACGAGTGTGACCGCACTGGGTTATGCTATATCGTCAGCACACGAGTGTGACCGGGCGGAGTTATGTTATATCGTCATCACACGAGTGTGACCGGACGGAGTTATGTTATATCGTCAGCACACGAGTGTGACCGGGCGGAGTTATGTTATATCGTCATCACACGAGTGTGACCGGGCGGAGTTATGTTATATCGTCATCACAAGAGTGTAACCGGGCGGAGTTATGTTATATCGTCATCACACGAGTGTGACCGGACGGAGTTATGTTATATCGTCATCACACGAGTGTGACCGGGCGGAGTTATGTTATATCGTCATCACAAGAGTGTAACCGGGCGGAGTTATGTTATATCGTCATCACACGAGTGTGACCGGACGGAGTTATGTTATATCGTCATCACACGAGTGTGACCGGGCGGAGTTATGTTATATCGTCATCACACGAGTGTAACCGGGCGGAGTTATGTTATATCGTCATCACACGTGTGTGACCGGACGGAGTTATGTTATATCGTCAGCACACGAGTGTAACCGGGCGGAGTTATGTTATATCGTCATCACACGAGTGTGACCGGACGGAGTTATGTTATATCGTCAGCACACGAGTGTAACCGGACAGAATTGCCGTAAGCAGATGAAGACGTAATTTAGTGACATATGACTTTTATTTGTGAACACCGTTACATTATATTTTATATTATTCAGATTGTTGAAAAGATACCGCAAGCAAAATTCTGATGGATGGCAGGTGTTAAATTCTGTTATAAGATATACCATGAATCCGGGTACATCTGCGTGACTTCCTGGTTCACAGGTATAATACAACATTCTACGTGTTAAGCGTTGTTAAGTGCTTTCATCCTTAGTGTTTTACCCACCTATTGTCCTCAATGAATTTGTCCATGGTCTACTTCACTCACTATCTAACAGGATTTGTATTTATACAGAACAGGTTTGTTGTAAAGTGTACAATGACAAACAGCACATGTATGCTGTAAACGTATACATGGACATACAGCACAGGTCCGCTGTAAATGTGTACAGAGACACACAGAACAGGTCCTCTGTAAAGGTGTACAGGGACATACAGAACAGGTATGCTGTAAACGTGTACAGGGACATACAGAACAGGTATGCTGTAAACGTGTACAGGGACATACATAACAGTTCCGCTGTAAACGTGTACAGGGACATACATAACAGGTATGCTGTAAACGTGTACAGGGACACACAGAACAGGTATGCTGTAAACGTGTACAGGGACACACAGAACAGGTATGCTGTAAACGTGTACAGAGACATACATCACTTGTATGCTGTAAATGTGTACAGAGACATCAGCACAGGTCCGCTGTAAAAGTGTACAGGGATATATAACACAGGAATGCTGTAAACGTGTATAGGGATACATAACACAAGTCCGCTGTAAACGTGTACAGAGACATACATCACTTGTATGTTGTAAATGTGTACAGAGATATACAGCACAGGTCCGCTGTAAAAGTGTACAGGGATATATAACACAGGAATGCTGTAAACGTGTACAGGGACATACAGAACAGGTATGCTGTAAACATGTACAGGGACTTACAACACAGGTCCACTGTAAACAGGGACATAAAATTGAAATTTTAAGAATTTAAAAATCAATGAATAAACGCTCTGACGGGAAATGGGAGCGGGGACTAGGTTGATCATATTCTATAGGGATTGACCAATGAAATAAAAGCTTGTTTACTTCAACCTTTTGTTATGTAACAAGGACTTCGTCATCCCAAATATCAAATTCTACAGCTCAGACAAAATAGATCTTTTATATATTTAAAATTGGATTGAATTTTCTACGCTTACAAAGAAAATCGAAAGATACGCCTTTGTTTACGTGTTCTTTATACAAATGGTTTGTAGTTTGAATCAGCTAGAGTCTGTTCTGAAACGTTTGTGTCTTTAGTCTCTCTCTTCGCTATTTAATTCTGTAATCATATCAAATTTTAAAAGAAAATGTCATATATATCCGGACAACTCCACGCATGACAGATTTTACGTTGAAGAGCATAAGAACAAGCGTGGGTGCATAATTAAACAGGGATAGAGATGACGCGTCTGTTTATAAGGAGCGTGCTGTTACAGGTGTTGGGTAGTCAATCTTTCACCATGAGGTTGTATGGTTTCTGGTTTTACATCACGTTATGTGTTATTGCTGAGAGTCCACCACCATCACCACCACCACCTCACCTATGTACAACTATCAGAACTCGTCACGGTTCACATACTCATCTACAGTGTAATATCCCTGACAATTACCAATGGACATTTCGGTTGGTTCAGAGCTGGGCGCAGAAATACAAGGTACAACAAATCCAGGTATATATAAAGTGTAAGATAAATGGCAGAATCATTCTACGTCAACCTATCAAGTGTCGTGGTATGACGGGGTTGTACATCGAAACTTGTAATATTTTACACTTCTATAGATATGACCTGTCTAGAAAAGGTCATCTCGTCCCATTCACACTCAAGACCATGGAGATAATCGACTCTACATATGTAATTACCTACCGTGAACTTCAGAAACTGTATACTGAACACAGCGAGGAAGTGAACGCCAAGTATCCCTGCTTCATCCCGCCCTCCCTGGAACGGTACGTAGAAAGAAACATATCCGTGGTTTCAAATACAAATGGACACGTAAACCTTGACGCCAAAGAGAGGCATCATCAAAATATTCCAATTTGTAATTACACTCAATTAAACTATTATGAAAAGTCTTTATCGACGACAGATAAATCTAGATTCGTCAATAAATTTCTTAGTAAAGGGAATTTCCCTTCCCTTCGAGTGTTAAATCTATCATATCTATATTTGAAGAGGGCGCCTGAAAAGCTTTGTAAAGATAGATTTTTGGAGGAATTCCCAGCTTTACAGTTTGTTGATCTAAGTCACAATCGCCTTTCTGATATTGAATTCGGGACATTTGGCGACCTAAGAGAACAGGTCAGCTTTGATATGGGCCACAATAACATCCGGGTCGTTTCTGCTACTGTACTGTCCACATTAAGGACAATTTATCCTGGCGTGATGGTATTGCGTGGCAACCCATTTTCATGTAGATGTGATCAGAAGGACTTGTTTCAGTTCCTGAAGAATTCAGCGGAACCTCTTGTAACACACTACCGATACTTACTGTCGGTTAGATGTAAAACACCGCTGAAATACCGAGGCCGCTTATTGGGAGATGTACCATTCCATAATGACTGTTATTTATCGGATAAACACAGTAACGTTTTAATTGTTGTTCCAGTCGTTAGTGTTACATGCTGTGTAGCGGCATTCATCATTTATCTGGTTTATCGTAAATGTTTAGGATGTTTTCAGTGCAAAAGACCGAAACAGAACCCAACAGAACCATTATTGGTCACAAGTGATAACTTCCAGTATGATGCCTTCATTTCGTACAGTCAAGAGGACGAGACCTTGGTGAAGATGATGTGCGGACGATTGGAAGGACCGCCCTATAACGCCATTCTCTGTTTACATAACCGCCATTTTGTACCGGGTGTGTCTATCACTGATAACATATTCCAGGCGGTGGAGTCAAGCCGTCACACAGTAGTAGTGTTATCTGAACATTTCCTGGAGAGCCATTGGTGTATGACGGAGTTTAGAGAGGCGAACCGTAAAGGTATTTTGGACAATAAGCGCCATCTAGTAGCAATAGTCATGGAGGAGTTTGACGATCACGCGACGTCACTACCTCAAGAACTTAGCATGTTTTTAAAGACTCACACATACATCCGAGTATCGGAGTTAAATTTTTGGGAAAAGTTGGTGAACGCTATCAAGAAATATACGACAGACGAAGATGCGAGCGGTATCTCTAGTGTCAAATCAAATGCTGCAGGTAAAAATCATAGAAAGGCTATATAAACTACTCGTAAAAACCTATGTCCTCAAACGTTCAGCAGACCATTAGTCATTCTCTGTGTATACGTAGCGTATGGGCGTTCACTTTAAATATCTTAAATATCTATGTATATATTGTAAATATCTATATAACTTGGTTTACAGATCAGTTGTTATACTACCACCTATCTGATCGCTTGAATTTTCTAAGGATAATCCGGTTTCCACCAATTTTATAATAAAAATACCGACATGTTAGCAGAATATTAATTCTAACACAAATTAGACGAAACTGAGACAAATTTCTGAATTTCTGAAAACGTACAAGCAGAATAGGAACAAGTTTGCTTTTCACTTTCATGGAAAAAACAAAATCCTCACGTTTAGCATACAGCTTGGTGGAACCTGTCCATATATTGTTGTTTTTGTAGGAAAAGATCGAGATAAGCGGTTGGTGTTGAAGGTTCTGTCGTGTCCCCGAGTCTAAGTTATCAAAATTCCAATAGGTATATATGATTGATTGGGTCGCAAATCTCCTGTTATTGAAAACAGAACGTCATTTATGTCTAAAAATAAAATTAAAGGTTTATGCGAGGTCTATGTGACTTGTTTTGATAAATTCAGCCTCTTATGAAAACAAAACAAGTCTACCAAAAGGGGAGACAGTATGTTCCCATAAGTATGCCGATAACCTGTCGAACGATCTTGCCACCAAACACGAAAGATAATGCGAAGCAGAAATTCAATCATTTTCATGATTTCATCCACTAAATATTTCAAGATTGATTTTGGTTTTTTTCACGAAATACGATTCTACATTGTTCACCGCCTACGCCTTTCGTTGAAAAGAAAACTCTGATATCAAGAAAATGAAGACATTTAGAATGTGGTATGGCAGTGTAGAGAGTGCAAACATAAAATATTCTGTTGTAATTCTGTAATGTTTGTTATGTATAGGCCTTTCCTTTTCAGATTACTAGAGACGAAACTTGATGAAGGCCTCGATAAACTTCGTCAAAATGAATGCTTTCAATCTTCTGTATACTCATTGTTGGTTGTCAGGTCTAAATAAACAAATGGAAAAGACAATTGGATTCAACTCATTTTTATCTTTAACTTTGGAACTTTCGAAGTCTAACGTAATGTAAAGTAATTTTCAATACAAATACATTATATTAAAACATAACTTAAGAAATTATTTTGTGTCTACATCACATTCAATACCATAAAAATTTGCAAGCAAATCGACCTAGAAATAGGCATATCATGAAAATAAGCGTTTTTCTTTAATGATAAAAACACGTGAGTTTGAGACTTGAGAAAATAAGTCGCGTGGTATTTTCGAGGTTTTTAGGGGATCATAGAAGATAAAAATGAGTAACAACCAAAATAAAGTAAAAACCATGTAATATCAAGGAGATCATTAACAGCTAAACAGCAAGAAACAAATTAATGTATCACTTGGTGTCGATCAAGGAAGCGCATGTAGAGAGAATATGATAAAATTGCAACAGCAAAATCGTTAGTAAATAAACCTCACAGAATTGTTGGTAAAAGAAACCCACATTTCAGTTAGAGTCCGTGAATAATAGGTTTAATCATAACTAGAGTTATTTCCCCTGGTCTGTGATATTTTCCTAAAGCAGTCGTTGTAGATTTATCAGCGCTTTAATTCATTTGCCGTTTTCTGTTGTATCTTTTCTTTATTTTTTATGGTAATGTAGAAACAAGACTAACTTGTGTTCCCCATCAACAAGACAGTTGCTCTCGACACTATCATACCCACTTTTGTTAACTTCGCTGAAAATTATGGGGAAGTTTTACGGTCAGCAAAGTGTTCTCATTGATAACTATTGTATTTCTGTGTGCGATATAAAACCTCGTTAGTTTGCCTCTTGGTTCCGTTCTTGTATTATTTGTCCTCATTTGAGAAAGTAATATTACTTCTTACATTGACAATGACGGATGTCATCGATGAAGCCGAAGACGCTTACTCTTCCGGAACTCATATTCCTATTTTCAGTGTACCTTCTTTTACGAACTCTGCGTGTATCTCTTTCTTCTGTTTAAGTTTTATATCTGTTTTCGTTGATTTTCAGTTTGGAATATGATTATGTCGACATGATGGCATTTTCTTGCTGATTTTGTCCATAACAACATTCTCCTTTGGATATTAATCCCCATAACATCTCTCCTGGATATTAATCTCCATAACAACATCTCTCCTAGATAATAACACCATAACATCTCTCCTGTATATTAATCCCCATAGCAACATCTCTCCTGTATATTAATCCCCATAACAACATCTCTCCTGTATATTAATCCCCATAACAACATCTCTCCTGTATATTAATCCCCATAACAACATCTCTCCTGGATGTATATCACCATAACAACATCTCTCCTGTATATTAATCCCCATAGCAACATCTCTCCTGTATATTAATCCCCATAACAACATCTCTCCTGGATATATATCACCATAACAACATCTCTCCTGTATATTAATCCCCATAACAACATCTCTCCTGGATGTATATCCCCATAACAACATCTCTCCTGGATGTATATCCCCATAACAACATCTCTCCTGTATATTAATCCCCATAGCAACATCTCTCCTGGATGTATATCCTCATAACAACATCTCTCCTGTATATTAATCCCCATAACAACATCTCTCCTGTATATTAATCCCCATAACAACATCTCTCCTGTATATTAATCCCCATAGCAACATCTCTCCTGGATATATATCACCATAACAATATATCTACTCATTTGATAAATTGTATATTAGAGAGAGAGAGGGGGGAGAGAGAGAGAAAGAAAGAGAGAAAAAGAGAGGGAGGGAGGGGGGGGGCGGGGAGAGAGAGATCGATCAAACCCCTATTTTAATTTTTCGCAATTAAGAGATATAATCATCTTTGCTTAATTTCTGATCGCCATATACGAGCAAATCTACTTAAATTCTCAAAGAGAGGTTGTAACTGACTTATTAATAGATTTCGATTATGAATGTGTAGGAGTACAAACACAAAAATAGTAATAGAAGTCTTCACATGGGTTGCTACATCTACATCCAGCTGTGTTACGTTTCGTTCTAAAAAAATCGTAATCAAGAGATCTGGCAGGATTTCTCAAACGGAAATGAAGTATGTTTAAATTACGTAAATCCCAAACCTAAAAACATTTGTCATGTATTATTTCTGTCTTACTGGTGATTGAGTTAAATGTATTGAGAGAAGGAGAGTTCATTATAGAAATATCTATGTCATACCACGTTTTGTTGTTGATGAGAAAAAGAATTTCGCAGGCTTAAGAGATAACCTGAAGTTCTCGTGATTGTAAACCACGTGAGAATTAAAAGCTTTATGTTAAGATTAAATTTCATATATCAAACAATCAACGATTTAATTGTTTCATTATTTTGTAATGATCTCTAACGAAACAAAATAGAAACAAGGTCGTGAAAGTTTCGATATCATGAAAGTTCCCTTTTCAGTTAAAAAAAAGTCAATTGAGGATTCGATCCCTGCACCTTTGGAGTCGAGAACGGAGAGCTTATCACTGTGCTATCGTTACGTTACATATGATGAATTTGAAAATTTTAGAAATCTTATTAAGTATGTTGTTTGCTCCATCTATTGAACATATTTTGTTTGTATTTGTGTGGAATGCAAAACATGTGTCAGGAAAATATCTCCATATCAACAAGCTCTGCACCCTACTCTTACACTAAAAATTACCCAAATAATATGCATTACACAAGTCTGTTCTTTTATTGAGGAAACAAAGTAATTATTCGCTATTGTTTTTCTGTAAGTGTACATTAAATGCCGTACAAAAAGAAGCCAAGTGTGATTTTCCTGTCAAGCATGGGTTGTCACATGAACAGAGCTCCCTGAAAGAGTGCTCCGCTTGTGCCCATTCCTGATCGCTTTTATAAATGCACTCGTGCCATGTCCGTTACTGCATACTGAGGTTTTGTACAATGATAGGGTTAATTGTGAGCACACGTTAACCGTGTCTTTATTTTATGGTTTTTATGAATGACTTTCCGTTATTGTCTGTGCAGAAAGTTTATCTGTATGAAAATGATTGATTACAAAAGGTTCTTCTTTAATTCGTTTATTTAACTTTTTATCGTTTGTTGTAAATTGCACCCTGTCGATATAATGTATGATCTAGGACCCCGTAGTATAAATGTCAAGGTTATTTAACTCAGATTGGTGTAAATAGACATGTTTGATATAACCTCGAGAAATAGGCGATCATGACAGGTACTTGTTTTCAGCTATTACAAATAGACTTCTCTGACAGTGGAAGAAAGTCGGTATGTATCCAGTTTCGAACAAAATATAATATTGCAATTTATATCAAATGCTATTATATGTGGGGTGAGAGAGAGAGAGAGAGAGAGAGAGAGAGAGAGAGAGAGAGAGAGAGAGAGAGAGAGAGAGAGAGAGAGAGAGAGATATTATCTTATTGCAATGAAGAGATATTATCATCTTAAGTGGAAATATAGAGAGACAGAGTGAGAGAGACAGAGTGTGTGTGTGAGAGTAAGGGAGAGAGAGGGGGGAGAGAGAGAAAGAGCGATCTTTTTCATGTGTTTTAGTTTAAGCTATTGCATATCGAATAATTTCATTAATAACCTTTTGATATAGCCATGTTTGTCACGGATGTTCTTTTGAACATACAAAAACTAACAATCAGAAAATTAAAACATAAATCAAATGTATCGCTTAGAAACTTCCTTATCGTGTTTTTTTTTACATTTATTTGGACCAATAATTTCACTTTACACTATCAGTTTTATTGAATAAGTGAGAAAGCTTTCATAGATTTTTTTTCTGATTTCCATCCAACATTTCCAACTGTATTCCTTTAGTTTCACTGAGAAAAGAAGGACGAAATTGCATTGTGATGCACTTTTTTTTCAGAATGCTGCATCAAACCACTGTCACTATATGTTGTATGTGTTTCATACGTGTTTCTCTTTAGTACATATTTTTCTAAACGATAAACAAGATGACATTATGGCTTGGAATCATATTTTTATAAAAACAAAATCAAAAACATTGTATTCAAATAACTTTGTTAAACCTGTGAATGTATTTTCAAACTTGACATCGATGTCAATATCAGATTTATATAAATATCTCCTTTAGCATTTCCAAAAGTCTTCTACGCTTCTGGTGCGCTCTCTGAGGTCCTCATAAACATTGACATTCTGGTTACGAATACATTTGTATCACTGACATACGATATAAGGAAAGTTCTGAAGAGATAGTTGTCTAAAAATAGATTTATTTCATAACATTTAATTTTCTTAATCTGGTTGCGTAATGAGTGGACGTGATGACCTCCTGGTATCATTTGCCATAATAAAATGATTTTCGGATCAAGGTGATGCACTTCCGGAGTCACTTTTGTCTTGGGAGTCATTGTCAACAGAACGCTTGTACTGGTGCAGATATGCTCCACCTAGCGGATCAAGTGCCCTTTTATAGCCATGAAGATATGCACCCCCAATCGGATCAAGAGATCTTTTGTAGCCATGGAGATAGGCTCCACCTAACGGGTCAAGTGCCCTTTTATAGCCATGAAGATACGCACCGCCTAATGGATCCAGTGCACGTTTAAAATTATGAAGCCAGGCACCTCCAAGAGGGTCCAAAGCACGCTTGAATCCGTGCACAAAAGCACCTCCAAGTCGATCAAGAGATCGCTTTTCCTCATTTTCATCGTCGTCCATGGCTCGCTTGTATCCATGTAAGTATGCTCCTCCTAGACGATCAAGTGAACGTTTTAAATCATCATCGCCATCCATGGAACGTTTGAATTCATCTAGATACGCGCCACCGAATCGATCGAGAGAACTTTGTGAATCAACGTCTTCGTCGTTATCTACTGTACGCTTAAAACCATGTAAGTATGCACCACCGAGTCGGTCGAGAGAACGTTTTGAATCAACGTCATCTTCATCGCCATCCATAGCGCGCTTGAATCCGTGTAAATAAGCACCACCGAGCCGGTCGAGAGAACGTTTCGAATCATCATTATCCATTGCACGCTTGAACCCATGTACATATGCACCGCCTAATCGATCAAGGGCGCGTTTGGCGTCTATGTCACCATCATCCATTGCGCGCTTAAATCCATGTAAGTATGCGCCTCCCAGAGGGTCAAGGCCACGTTTTTTATAACCATGTATCCACATACCCCCCAACGGGTCTAGTGATCTTTTATATCCATGAAGATAAACGCCACCAAGAGGGTCCAAAGCGCGTTTGTATCCGTGGACGAAAGCCCCACCTAATCTGTCCAAGGACCTCTTCTCCGGAATTTCATTGTTTTCCTTTATCGCCTGTAGGACTCGCCTTAGGACATTGAGCTTCCGTTCTGAGGTTCCTATAGGTACACCCACGTCCGAAGTGACATCATTCTCTGTGACGTCCGTCCCTGACGGCAGATTAGCATCATCCACAACAGACAAAATATCGTAGTCTTTATTCTCTTCGTCGTCTGCCTCACGCGTGCCTTTATGGACATAAGTGCCCCCTAGCCGGTCCAGGGGATCGTCATTACGACCAGAGGAAGAGTCCGAATCAGTCGGGGAAGGTGTCCAACCACGTAGTTCATTCATTATCCTTTGATGTACCTCCTGGAGATATACAAAATAAGCAATACATCAGAAACGGGTGCAAACAGAAGAAATAAACACAGTACGCTATGTATTATCAAGGGAAATGAGAATCGTTTTCTTCATGTAGGAGTAAATCTGAGACATAACCAGATACACGAAATGAAATCTTATACAAAATAAATAACTGACAGATAGTTACATCAAAACCAACGTATCATTGCCATTCGTTATGTAAAAAGGTCATTATTTATTTCAATGCCTCCGCTAGGATTCGAACCCAAGACCCCCGGGCTGACGCTTAACCGATCGAGCTAAAGAGAAATTCTCTCTAGTATATATTGAGCCTAGTATTGTACCAGGGTTCAGTTACTTTTCAAAGAACTTTTGAAAAAAAAAACATCATTATTTAGAAGTTTTTTTGTTACAGTTAGGTTTCAGCGTATTCACATATCTTTATCTGTTGTAGAGCTACAGTGTTTGTCATAACTGTATAAAGCATTTCTGACTTTCTAACCCACGCGTGGAGAAAAAAGATTTATTATGGGCAAAAAGATGATTACTATTTTTCATTTTCTTTTTCATTACTTTAACTGTGAGTTACTTCTCCAATGTGATACATTTATCGATCAACAAGTTGCCTTCTGTACATGTAGATATACAACGTTTTATTCCGAGGACAAAAAATCAGAATTACGTTGATTTTCAGAGGAAGTGAAATTGTACAAAAATATGTAGGAATCAATTTATAGATAAATACTCAAACAAGATGATCACAAACCCTGTAATTTACAGAAATAGGGAATTAGAGACTTTTTGTTCTCAGAATTAGATGATAATATGTACACGCGATAACTTAAATAGATATAAAAAAAAATAAAAAAATCACTTTCAGAATAGCTTTTCAGTGCCCTGATCTAAATAAGCTGTGCCGACATGATTTAGTGTCGCCCATTTTCTACATTAGCTCAGGAAGATATTGTGACGGTTTAGTTATAACAAGATAAAAACAGTCTATGTATAGAACATTGCTGACGAGGATATGCTGAATTATCGTGTATATTTTTTTACAACGAGTTACTTCCCTTACACTAGTGGACCACCACGTTAGACACAAATGTTTGCTGCAGTGCAAGTTAGTATCGTAACCCAACAGCAGAACTCGGTAATATGGCACACTAGCTTACAAAACTCTATCACTCATGACGAGTATCATAAAAAGGTATTTCAACATTCTCTACCCAATCTTTTGTTTTATTTCGATTTATACTTAGTATGAGGTGAAAGAAGTATTATTGTAATAATACGCCAAATTTCATTTGGACTGTAGACCGTTGTCCATACTCATTACATGCCGAGCGAATATATATGAAATGAATTAGCTTTACGTCATGATTGGTCCTAGAGGGACAAACCAGCTGTATGATATTGTTTATTTACTTCGTCTAAGCACTATATATAGTCATACAATTTCTACTTTTTATCTTGTATGTGTCTAATATGCATTCACTCTTAAACCACCAATATACGAATTCATTTAGCAGTATTGGATTTGTGTTTTGTGAAAAAGAGATCTACTTTCTTAAGTATGAATGTTAATATTGTCTTCGTGATAAAATTCAGACAAAACTATTTTCCAAGAAACTTCATCGAAGTTCAAACATTTCACCCGGAATTTCATTAACTGTTTTTTACCGATTAATATATATATGTGTATATATATCACGTATCTTGGTCCTGCTGACTTTCGTCTCTCGATTACCTACAGTAAAGTTTTTAAAGGGTTGATCGCGTCGTGAGCAGCTAGGGCCATTTTGAAGCGAGGTATCCCTTGTGTAATAGGTGGCTACCTCATATTTTAACTATGAACAAGACAGTTCTGTTACATCTATCACCATGTTTACAATTTTTTACAGGTTAGACAGAACTTCATGACAACATTTATAAACATGTGGACTATTTGTGTTATAACGTCCAAAAATATCGTTGGCCCGAAGATCTGAAGATCAGAATTACCTCTCGTAGTTGTAGCCGAGATTGGTATATACATGAAGGTATGAGCTATTTGAATATATCTGTCGTTATAGATATAAATAATGGTTGGCGATGACAGATACCTGGCTACACAATATTTATGAATCTAGTTTGTACATTTTAAAAAATCATTCAAATACCGACACTCTTCTGCCGATTTTTATCAAATCCTGTATAGCTAGAAACGTAAGTTTGTTATCAGCAAATTGGAGAACATCGTCGCCGAATACAACAGTAGCAAGATATTGACAGTTAAACGCCAAGAGCTGTTCGTATGTTCTCTGTAATCGCTGCAAGATTCCGATAAAATTATCATTTGTTTGAACCTCACTGCATACGTATAATTAAGATAAGAAAGTACAGATGTACTGTCGGTAAAAATTCGCCATAAAGGGTAAGCACTAACTATCAGGAACGATTATTGATCAAATTGTGTTTAAGTGACGTAGCTTTTTCTGCAGAACTTATAAAGGTTCTGGGACGTGTTTTCTGAACAATTCTCTATTGTTTGAATAAAACTGCTATCGACGATTTGTAAACTGTTTCCGTTTAATTCATTTCACAGCTATTCTTTTTCCAAATTTGTATTTTTAATTGGCGTAATATGTAAATAGAAAATCGATACCGAATAGTATTGATGTTTTAAGATGCACTATTATTGCTACAAATAATCGGTAACAGATGAAAGTCCGTATTTAATTTGAAGCTTTTGTTATAGATAGTAAACGCATTTCCCAAGATGTCTCTTATGCTATTTTTGTCATCAAATGGTATCTTTCATTGGAAATGCGCTGTTGCCTTGTCAGTCTGGTAATATAATTTGCTAGGGTATATCAAGTTAAAGTAAAACAACACATCGTGATCTCATCAAGATCTCGTGAAGCGAGAACATTACTCAACTACTTTCAATCTACATACATGAAGATGTGATTTTTAACTGATGTCATCGTGTTAATTTATTCGCCGTTTTCTACGGAGTAATTATGTTCATTGATCATTAAGGGTGCGCTCATCCTTTAGCAGAAATAGATCAGATTGCTGGAGTAGAAGAGTGTATTGTCACGTACGTTCGTGATGTCTGAGGTTCTAGAGTGAGTTTTAACAGACATGATATCCCCCTGTTTATTACCCCAATAACGTATCATTAAGCTAGACATACGATGAAAAAATCCATCGGTTTATAAAATTATAAAAATTTCTTCTGCCAGATTTTAGGAGCTTCATAAAGCTTTAGGGTACTTAAGGCTGTAGATCAATGCACACAGTCTATGAAAAGAGTATTAACTTGCTATCGTAAGTGGGGACATATTGAGATAGGAGATATCTTTATGGAACATTTCATTCAGTGTATCTAACAGTGTCATCTTAAGGGCACATGCACTAATCTTCTCTGACGTCTTCGTGACTTTCACAGATTTAGATCGTCTCCTTCTTTTAAAATTGACAGAAAAAAAATCATCACTCCAGAACTTACTTCTTCCTCTTCCAGCCCCCCAGCCCCCCTTCCAGCCCCCCCCACTTCCCGCCCCTTCCAGCCCCCCTTCTAGCCCCCCAACCCCACCCCTTCCCTCCCCCTTCCGGCTCCCCATTCCAGCTCCCCCACCCCCTCCCTTTCTCCTCTTCCATTAAGAAGGTCGGAAGGATCACTGTTCAGATGAGCATGCGCAAAATATCCCACTGCGCATGACACAAGTGACATCCACGATATATCGCCGTGGATTATCTTAATTAAAACACTGTAATTGATACTATTTTTAATTTCAGAATATTTGATTGTCATGATTTTACCGATAAAAGTAAATGGGCAACACATGACCTATGAAGGCCCTCTCATTGATACTATACCCGGGTATCATTGAATACTTCAATATTTGGTGCATTAAGCCCCAATCTCAGGCCTCGAGACAATCTGTTCTATCTCAGTGGTATCATTACCTCATATTGTTTCCCTATCCACATTTTATAATGGTTTTGTAAATAATTTGATAAGTGCAATGTTCTATAGCGGTCTGGGATAAAACAAATTAATTATGAAAAATAATATGAAGTCGTAACCAGAACACGTTTTCCCTATAAAACCATTCAGCCAATACACATTAGTAATTGTTGTGTAATAGGGACACGAAAAGAATCTCGTTTCTCGGATATTAATAGTCCCTAAAGCGAGCTGATCGCGGATGTATATCCGGTTTAATGGTTCCAGGGCACCGTCAAATTACACTTATATAAACAATTCTCATCAAATTTAACTCTAACACGCAAAACCACAATTTAGACATCGTCCAATTTTATAGTCAGTTTCACCAAACTGTCACTCTAAAGTAAAACCGAAAGAAATATAGCTTTGCTTTATTTTTGTACTGTTAAAAAAGATATTTATGAGTCAAAGTAATAGGTAAAAATGTCGATCAATGCCACTCAAGAATCCTACGGCCTATTTGTAAAAATATGACGTTAATTAATTTGATTATGACGTCATTGGATACGTTACCGTAGCAACGTTGACACCGATTCTGTGGACGATAACCACTTCAGGTTAATGACCTGTTCCTAATATACGTGACGGTCATTGACAAACTTCACTGATAAACAACTAAGTTTTGGATCCTGTTTTTGTTGCTACAAATGTATATATATGTATATCATTCAGTGTGTTTTTCATTGTTATATCTTCATATTGAGGACAAGTTTACTTGATAGTGTGAATCCGAATTGTCACAGTTTATATCAGTAAACATATCAACAATTTCACCATTTTGGGTTTTATAGTCACATTACTAACCTTCCATTTATATATATATATTTGTTTGTATACTACTATTTATTATACGGTATACACGACTTAAGTCTTTGATGTGGACAGTTAACATGTAAGTGTGTATATGTCATTACTGTATTTTATATCACAGTGGTTGCCGATATACAATCAAACCGAGAAATGATATGAAATTTAGTTTAAGGACATTCATTTAACCTAAAAGTCGATG